GTAGCGTAAGTAGTGTACCTTAGTTCTACTAAAAAAAGATTGTTGCAGAGTTGTCGCTAAAAGCGCACCGTACTCGGGCCGAAAAGAAGAAGCTTTCGGCAAGCGCGTCGGCGGGAACGACGCGTCTCCCTCGTCATCATCCCAAGATTACATCCAAGTAATTTATTCACATACACAGCAATCCAAAGCAACCTGGTCACACTCAAAATGCCTGAGGTAAGCATCATGCATCAAGCTTCGTCGACTGTACACACCTCAGACTAACAGCATCTCACTAGATTGGGGAAGTAGCTCGAATTGTGCATTATCTGAGAAAACATCTTGTCAATCGCACAGTCACGAGCTGCGAGGGCTTTGTCGATGATATTGTCTATGGAAAAGTCGGCTGCTCGGCCGAAGCCTTCAGCAATGCCTTTACCGGCCGCAAAGTAATGTCGGCAGGACAACAAGGCAAATACTTCTACGTGACCTTGGACAAAGCACCTCACAGCATTATGCATCTTGGAATGACAGGCTGGATCAAGTTTAACGCGGAGGAGACTGGATACTATCGACAAGCTGTGAAGAAGGACGGCGAGAAAGAAGACTGGCCGCCGAAGTACATGAAATGGCTTATTAAATGCGATGCAGAGGGCGATAGAGAGGCGTTGGAAGTGGCTTTTGTCGATCCAAGACGGCTGGCGAAGATACGGCTGGTGGATTGCGAGGCGGACAAGATTCGAAGCGTTTCGCCTTTGAAGGAGAATGGGCCGGATCCCGTTATCGACAAAGACGTTGTAACGCTCGAGTGGCTTACAGCACTGCTGCGCAGGAAGAAGGTTCCAGTCAAGGCACTGATCCTCGATCAGGCGAACATATCAGGAATAGGCAATTGGGTTGCGGATGAGATCCTCTATCAGGCAAAGTTGCATCCTGAGCAATATAGCAACACATTCTCTGACGACGAGATTGCACGGCTAAGAGAGGCCATGTTCGAAGTGACCGGACTTGCCTGCGAGGTGCTAGCCGACTCGGAACAGTTCCCACAAGACTGGCTTATGAAGTACCGGTGGGATAAGGGAAAGAAGGCGAGCAATGTTCTGCCTAATGGGGCGAAAATTGTACATTTGACCGTTGGAGGCAGGACCAGTGCGATTGTGCCGAGTGTACAGAAGAAGACCGGCAACGTTGCAGCAGATGTCAAAGGTGAGGACTCGGCCGAGGAGAAGACGGAGCCGGTGGCCAAAGGACGGAAGAGGAAGTCGAAGGCTGTCAAGGAAGAAGACGAAGAATTGGGGAACGACGATGAAGAGGAAGAAGTCATGCCTGCGAAGAAGACTAGAAGCCGAAAAGTCAAGTCAGAGGCAGCCGACTCTGTTCCTACTGAGCCGAAAAGGGCAAGCAGGGGGGAGAAGGCTGCGATCAAGAATGAAGAGCCGGAAGAGGAGGTGCCAGGTCGCAAGAAGAAAGCGCAATCCAAGCCGATCGCACCCTCAAAGCCTGTGGTGCCAGGGGAGAGGAAGTCCACGCGCAACAAAGCTTGAGATTGGAGGAAACGATCCACCAGACATGTTGTATGCTATGCAGCAGCCAAGAGTGCTGAACACACTGTATAGTATTATGACCGATGATATGCAACGATTGTCTTGCCCATGCGATGATTCTAGGGTTAGGGTTGGGGTAGTATGCATCGGTGTGGCCTCCTCACTCACGACTAGCTACCTATTGCCTAATAGTTGGTGAATGACCCATAGAAACGGTATAGCATTGTGGATTGGGCGAGCAGACTCAACCTACCTTCGATGTCACATTCGCATCGCCGTGCTGGTCGACGGTAGCCAACCTTGGCGTGGGATCACAATGGCTTTTCCACCTCGATGGATAAATTTCTCTAGTCGTCTTCTGGAAACAGTTTTCATCGACACCACGTTTCTCGCATAACAGTTGAAGAGCTTGATACTCTGAGTCTCAGCTACCTGCTTCCATGAAATGATGGATTCTGAATCGGCATTAGAAGTCCGCCGAGCGGCGAGCGCGGGCAGAGATAAGCACAAGCTAAATAGTTTCTCTTATTCATCATTCTACCATTTTGCTCCTGCGCGTGCTTTCATCCATACTCAGCCTGTCCGAAAGAGGGCAAAAACGAAGAAGATGGCCTCAAGAATGCTGACCCTAGGTCTATGTGCTCTCATCGGGTCCGTTATTGCACACGGACATCACGGCGAGGAAGAACACACTCCAGAGCCCTTCATCGGCTGGACGAGAGAAGATCTAGATGCCAAATGGGGGACGGACGTGTGTTTGAAACCATCTCACCGGTCAGGTCATGCCCTCATCTAACGAATATGTGCAGTGGGGATTCAGTGGCATCTCGACTTTTGCTCACCTCGAGCACCAACGCTGTCTGCAGTACCCCGATACCGAATACGACATTGCTATCCTAGGGGCTCCATTCGATACAGCGGTCACATATCGTCCCGGTGCGAGATTTGGCCCCAAAGCTATTCGCTCAGCAAGCGCGAGACAGACTGCTTTCCGAGGTTACAATCCTCGTGCAAACTTGAACCCCTATACCAACTGGGCGAAGATCATAGATTGTAAGGCGGCCAGACGCCAATAACAAGCTACGCAGCTCTTTGACACGTCTGATCCCTTTTCCAGGTGGCGATATTCCTATAACGCCCTTTGACAACGCGCTTGCCCTCAGGCAGATGACGGAAGCCTTCACTAACTTGGCCTACTCCAAAGCCCCAAAGATCAATGCAGAGTCCACAACTCCATATCGCAGGACCCCAAAACTAGTGACGCTAGGTGGAGATCATTCAATCGCTCTGCCAACGCTTCGCGCTCTCAATAGGATATATGGAAGTGTAGCCGTCGTGCATTTCGACGCGCACTTGGATACTTGGCATCCTGCAAAGTACCCATCGGCATGGCTTGATGACGATCTCACCGAATATCAGCAGAGCTTCTTCACGCATGGTACGAAGCAGGATGAGTTTGAGGCATGTATTAGGAACTTTAACTGACCCTATTCACGTGGCAGGCACCATGTTCTGGGTGGCACACAACGAATCTCTTCTTCTACCGAGCAAATCCGTACACGCAGGCCTAAGAACCAGACTCTCTGGAGTCGAAGATTACGAAGACGACGATGCACAGGGCTGGTCACGTTTCTCCGCAGATGACATGGACGACATTGGCGCCAAAGGCATTGCTGAGAGGATCATCAAGCACGTCGGTACCGACACTCCCGTCTATCTTTCCATTGACATTGATGTCATTGATCCCGGTCTTGCTCCTGGAACTGGTACCCCTGAGCCCGGTGGCTGGACGACTCGAGAACTGATTCGAGTTCTCAGAGGTATCGAGGGGTTGAATGTTGTTGGTGCGGACGTGGTAGAGGTCTCGCCGAGTTATGATGGCAGTGGAGAGACCACAGCTTTGGCGGCTGCGCAAGTTGCCTTTGAAATCCTGACGAGCATGGTCAAGCGAGGGTTGAGCAGCACTGGGAAAGAGGACAACATCAAGCAGGAGCTGTGATGTGTCTCTCTCTTGAGTTTCTGCCAGCGCTGGATCGCAAAGGGATGAATACGATCATGTCCCTGCCCCTGAGTTGAGACGCTTCGAGGTTGGGGTTGTCTTCACAACTCAATCGAAATCAGAACTCATTTTCGAGGTAGACTGTTTCAAGTCTCGGATCAGTTGATGAGTCGCTTGCTCATCTCCACATAAAGTACTTACTCGACAGATTGGATGGAACAACCCAAAGACTCAAAACCGGGGCAACGCTCGGGGCAAAATCATATTGTCCTAAGGAGGCTCTGTGGTGAATTGTGTGTTGAAGTTTGTTTATTTCAAGGCAGAGGCCGCTCGAGATCGCAGAAGCGGATATGCTTCGTCTTGCAATGGTTGCCGCTTGTGACCAGACTGCTAGCCATAGTGCCATTCTTATCCCTTTTTGACAGTATCACGCACATAACAGTTTACGGAACGTGAAGTGAGCGCTCGATGCATAATTTGCTCCCAAATTAACCATACATTGTATTGGAGACGGCGAACGCGTAAATCGTTATTTTTGTCAAGTATCCAGCGAGGCGATTTACTAAAAAGAGGTACTGTGAGCCTTTCCTTTGACATCTGCCTTGCATTTCATGTCATACGACGATATCGTCCATCCATCCATTACTATTCGCATCGGACGTTCCACTGCGACCTCTCATGCTGAATGTAGCATCGCGCGCGCGTTGAAAGTCATGTATGGCCCGTAGCAAGTTTGTTCCCTCCTCTTCACTACTCCGCAATGAAACCACAGCCTCTTGCGTTCTATTGTACTTTTTCAAGTAGTATCGTCCCTCCTCTGCTTGCCAAAAATGCATGTCATCTCGTAATTGAGTATCAGCATACGCCCTCGTATCTGGCCACGGAGAGTCGGCATTATCTGCTATGATGGACGCTTCGAAGACGCCCACTTCAGATGAGTTTTCGAGACGTCCCCGGAGTTCAACAGCAAGTTCGCTCAGAGCCTGCAGTTGCTTGATCAGCTCTCCGCCATGTGAGGTCGACCGCTTGATCAGGGAGGCGAAGGATAGAGTTGACGTCCCGACAAGAATCATTGCTGACAGAGTCCGAAGCAMGTGCGAAAACCCCAGCATCCCCGGAAAGCCATTCAGGGCCTTCTCCAACTGTTGATTGATCCCGTGCACGATAGCGATGACTGACTCCGCGGCCGCCATAACGCTCCTCTCATCTTCGATAACCACACAGTAAGCTAGATCAGGTATAACTTGCTCACAAGCTTGCAGAACTGGTAGGACTAGGACCCAAGAGCATGTCGTGGTGAAAGCGTGCCCAAGATACGCGGGGAACACTGTCGTCAAAAGAAGGTATCTTAGACTGGGAGAGTCCATCTGACCATGCTCGGTCACGCATCTCATCGCAGTAGACATTTGGTTGACCAAGTAGGGCTGTTGTCCGTCCACAGCAGCTCTTTCGCTGACAGACTGGATGAATATTGCAAGTTCTTTCCTAGTCTTAGGTTTGCTCAAATGCGGAACATAGCCCTTGAGCCTGCCGACAACATACGTTGGATCGTCCGATGGCAGTGGAAACATGGTGGAGTCAGTGAAGAAGCCGTCGACCTTGCAGAGGCGCGTGGCGTGCTGTTGCAGGAAGGAGACGACTTGCTGAACGAAATCGACGTAGGCACCTTGTACGCTGGCGTCTGCCACTGCYCCGACATGCGTCGTCTGTAGTTCTTGGTAGTTCCTCTTCATCGCTTGCATCAGCTGCCGAAGCATCCCTTCATGCACCATTCGAATAGCATCGGCAGGTTTGCCTGGGCCGGCGCTCTCATGAGTCTCGCGCATATTGCAGAGGACAGAGGAGATCGCAGCGAGTCTCCTTTGGCGAAGTTCGGGCAAAGTTATATGATACTCGCCTTTGCTGTCCCTCGCAAATGGCAAGTTCTGCAATAGTCGATCGTGTCCCAAGTGTGTTAAGAGTGCCGATGTCAATGTATGCTGGAACTTCAGCAAAGCTTCTCTCTCTACAAGGGATAGTAGCCAAGCAGTAGTGACATGGTGACTGATGTCGGTATGCATGGTGGAGTGCTCGATAACGCGGGACATGAAGTAAGTCGTAAACTTCCGCTTCTGCACCGTGTCCCGCATTTGCCCCCATCCTGTTGCGCTGTAGTCGTTCACATAATCGAGCCAAGTTTTCTTGGCGTTCTTGACTGTCGACGCAGCTAGACGTACCCACAAATCGATGGACGTTTGCAGGAGTTGGTCGTCCGGAGCAACATCCGCGCCAAGTGCGTTAGATATCAAATGTCCGACGGGCCCCAGCAGAATGTCAACGATCGACACGCTGTCGGAGGCGGAAGCATCATGGGCAGCGAATTCTTGCAATGCGTCYGAATCGCCGAAGTCCTGGCTGTCGTCACTGCTATGCTGGCTTTCGTGGGTTAAGGAAGCCCGCTGCTCGACGTCCAAGGCAGTCTCGACCACGTGCAGGGCCTCTGTCATAGCGCTGATGAGACGTCTTTGAGACGGGTCGAAGAGCTCAAAGACTGTCCAAAAAGCCGTCTCTTCCGCCAGAAACACAGCTATTGACGAGCTGCTGGCTGAAATTAAAGCGCGTTTGAGCCCGGCAAGAGCATCGACAATAGTTGCTGCAAGCTGCCGCTGGTTATTGGTCACGGTGCTATCAAGCAAAGCTTCGGACGGATTCGCACCCTCGATCTTTGCCTGGTCGAAGGCTTGCTGGGCTTCAAACTTTGCGAGACGGTACTGCGCAATCGTAGTCTTCATGATGTCGGCATACCAGCTCGTCAATGGTCTCAACGCATCTAGGGTCTCAGTAGTCGACGCTTGAAAGCTTGCGATATTCGCCCATGATTTGACATTCAGGCGACAGGCTTCTCGATGAGACGTCGTATGGTCGACAAGTTCTCGCAAAAGGTGTACACCAGGGCGGTGTCCAGGAGGCGATGCGTAGTAGAGCGTGCATACCAAGTCATGATGGTTCCTTAGAGCGTCCAGTGTTGATCGCTCCACATCTGCGTCCTTTCTGTAGCTCCTGTTGTGATTGGGAATAAATCGCCAAGCAATACCCTGGATCTTGCGGTCTCCGTACAATTGATACTTCCTTATACCAATCAAACCGCTTGCGAGAATCTTCAGGAAGATGTGAAAAGAGCGATCGTCGTTCTGCACATCGAGTTCGACAAGGCTGCTGCCGAGCTGATCAAGGAATTTGGGAGACCCTCGACTATCTTCCTTCTTGAGCAAAGCCAGTCCTCTTCGGCTGAAGAAATCGTAAATGACGTTCAACACGGATTCGCATCGCCACCAGCCCCATTTGTTGACGAGAGTGTAGCATCTCGACAGCAATGCACGCACGTAGTCGTTGACACTGTAGCCGCGCACCTCGCTGGAACTTTCATAGAGCTCAAAGACTCTGCTGAGAATGGCCTGTGGCAGTCTCCAATTCTCTCGTGGCTGCATAAGCCTACCCCCAACGCATACGGTGCCTGTGCTAGTCATCTCCAGCGCGGGAAGTAAGCTGAAAAGGTCATACCAGAGTTTATCAATTCGACCGATGGCGCATGTCTGGTCGATGTCGAGCCCCATTGTAGAGCAGATGGACTCCCAAAAAAGAGATTTCAATCCGCTTGCAGGCATGGCATTGTTGAGTATCACAACACTGCTGAAGGCATGCGCATTTCCATCAACACCTGCGCCACGCTTTTCCGAATCCTTGTTGTCCTCGTAGAAAGAACGGAGCTCGTCGCAATGTCCGATTACGGCCATGTTGGCAAGCCTTTTGCTTGTGAGTGAGAGTTGATTTTCGATCTGTGTCCTGGTTGCTGCCGAAACATTATGGTGGTTGCCTATCTGAGAGGCCTGCTTGATTATGACCAATTCGTACTGAAGCACCTTGGTCCTGGTCTTTGGCAAAGGTTCAGTTGCCGCAGCGGGCTCCGAAAGAGTGTCTGCTAGGTCGACCACGAGTCGATACAGGCTCTCAGCGCAAGGCTGTCGATCGACCGCGTCCACAAAATATAGACACTTCGAGCAAAAGCGCGAAACGGAACGCAGCAAGTAGTCGATATTGCTGTCAACTGCACTCAACTGCTGATCTCGGTCGTAGGTCAAATCCGCAGTTTCCAATGTTTGCAAAGCTTCCGAAATGACAGTTGGGATGCGCTTGAAGCTGGCGGCCACGTCTTCATTCCACGCTCCCCACTCGACCATCTCGTTTCCCAGTTGCACTCGCATGCGCCCTGCAGCGCAGGTGAGATCTCGCTTGGCCAAGCTGAAGGCGTCATTGAGCTCACCGCTTCCAATGAATGTGGTATGTTGGAAGAAAGTCCCAAGGTCCAGCGCTTCAATGTCAAAGTCTTTAGAGTATCTGGTTCCAAAAGGTCCCAGCCCTTCCAATACAGGTTTTGAGGTATCTGTACCGGTCTGCTGAGGATCATCGGCGGCGCTGATGTCTGGTAGAGGTTCGCTTGGTTGTCTGTATTGTCGAGTCCCTATGTCTAACCGGCGAGCCAGCGATTTGCGTGGCCTGTGTGGTAGAATTGGGATTGCCGGTGCCGATGCCGCAGCCTGCGTTCCGGCATCATGAACATCGACACTGGACGTGTTCTCATCTGTCGTGTGAAGGAACCTTGTAAGCTGCAAGCCCGGAGCAAAGCGATGCTCTGGTAAAGCCGTGCTCTCGGCAAGGACTTGCATGCGTCGCCTGAACGCTGCCGCTCGGTGTGTCTGATCGAACTCCGTCTCTAGGGTCTCCAATTGAGCGCTGCGAACGCGAGAGTGTTGATATGCTTGCCGTCTTCGTGGGATAACAGGATCTAGCCTTCGGTCTAGTGGCTCTTGATCCGTAGCTCGCTGATCATCAGCTGAAGACTCATTACGTGGGCGCCCTAACCTTCTCGTAGGTCCCTGGCGAGGTTGTGTCATTGAGACTACAGGTTTCCTGGGCCTTGTTGCTTGTATGCGCGGTTGGTATGCGTTTGCAGGGAGGTTTGCAAGCGGGACCCGATCTCCTTCCATGGCATTGGCTTGCCTTCTCGTTGACAGTGCATCGAGCCTGTCTGGACTTTGCGGGGGGCGAGCTGCGATGGTCCCTTCTCGCCAGGCACGTAGAACAGATGATGCCTCTTCTGTATCGTCAGCAGTGGCAAGTCGCAAGACTTTATCCGTTGGCGAGTGACGTCCGCGACTTGGTACATTGCGAGCGCGGCGCATTGCGAGACGAACAAACTGTGGCACACGATTTCCAGTCGGCGAGGATCTAGGAGCGTCGACGATGCTTAGATGTGGGGGAGACGGTCGCGGGCCAGCCTGACGGCGACGACGTCGTTGTCTGAAGCCAGGAGCAACTGCGGATCTGTAGTCACGCTGTCCGGGCACATGATCTCGATTATGATCTTCTCGTGGCCCTGAAGATTTTCGGAAGGCGTCTGTGATCCGCGGTTGGTTCGCTTTACGCGCTTTACCTCYAGAACGGGACATCCCAGCAAGCATTGCATCGACTGAATCATCTTCCATTTCCTCATCGTCCACAGCAGCTTCGTTGGCGTCGATCGACAATCGCTGATCCTCGAAGGCAAGCCGCGCCTGCTTGGGATTTACAGAAAACTCGCGAAGAGAGACATCGGAATCTTCCGAATCACCATCTGCAATAGCATCTAACCCCGGTGAATCTTTCTGTCTTGGTCTGTTTGTAATGAGCTTGCGGGCCACACCCTTTTGAGGTTCTGTTCTAGGCGAAGGCTGCGCGTTGAAATCACGTCTCCCAGCCGGAGAGGCAGATATTGGTAGCCGCTGTTTTCGAAAGTCTATCCTTAGCCAGGATGCTGGCAAGACGCCTTTGATGCGCTTTTGCTCTCTGCGTAACCGTTTTGCTTCCGCTTCGGCTATCGCGTCGTTTTCAGACTCCGAGGAGCTTGAATCAGAAGATAGTGTATCAGACCCACGGCGAGCAGATTGAAGCATCCTGGTAGGAGAATCTGCAGGCGCATCGATGTCAAAATTTTGTGGTCTCACATCCGACGATATCTGGGGTGTAGGAAGTGCAGCAGGAACCCTCCCGCCCGGCAGCCTGAATCCAGAAACGACATGCCGGGAGCCTCTCGCAAACATATTTGGGGTTTCAATGTCGCTCGATGTTCGCGGCGGAGAAGGCGGTGCAGAGTTTTGCTGAGCCGCAACTGATCGCCCCCGAAGTCTTGCAGCAGAGCTTATGGCTGGGAGCTGGCCAGGGCGCCTCCTCTCGACCGCATCGATTTTCCTACGTTTCGCCGGACGGTGGTCTCCTAATTCGTCATCGGAAGAGCCGTCGACAAGATCGAAGTAGTCCAGTTGAGGATGCGCCTTGTCAGGCTGGGGGGCAGGCTGGCTCTCTGGCGGAGACGACACAGCTATAGCATCAGAGCTTTGGCTTGTAGCGCTGTGCGAAGCCGATTGCGTTTCCTCATTTGGTGTGTCCTGCTCAATTACACGTACAGGTCTGAGACCACGCTCTCTGAATTGCTTCTGGTATTGGGCCTTGTCATACATGTATGGATGAAGCTGCTTTTCCTGGCGAGCTCTCAAGCTACGCCGCGCATTCGCAGCAGATACGTGGGGCTGGATATCGAGGCCATCAACATTCGGTGAAAGGGATTCTGCTTCATCCAAAGCGACCATGTCATTGCCCCGAGGTAGGCTCTCAAGTCTCCGAGGGAAGAAGTCCAGAGGTGGTGAGACGTCTCGCTCGCTCAGAGGTGATGACAATAGCTCAGATAGACGCAAGAAGTCATCGTTTTGAGGAGCTGGGAGAGTAGGTTCGGGCAAGTCATCAGACGCAGGTCCTGGTGGCTGAGGAAGGTCTGTGATGCCGACCCGTGTGGCGCATTCGTCGTGCTCCTTTTGATCAGCGAGTAAGTTGTGTCGTTGGGATCGCTTCAACAGTGCCGATGCGCTGAGCTGTGGCTGCGTAATATGTTCGGTTGAAGACGGAGCCCAGGTTATGAGATTAGCTCCATCGGCTTGACTGGATCTTATCCTAGTATCTTGAGACGATTCTGACACGAGCGCAACACCGATGTGGCTGTCTCCGGTGGGCTCAGTGGCAGAGATGTCTTGATCTATGCTCGTGCCGTCTATGTTGTTGTCCAAGCTTGACTCTCTCGATAGCCTTGGAAGGTCGGCGTCTGTCAAGTTCACTGCACCATCTTTGGCCAGACTCGGTCCAGGTTGTGCAACTGCAACGGCCCTATCTGGTGTTTGATGACGAGATGCTGAGGCGGAAGTCTGCTTCATAGTCCTCCCTCGCCGCCCGTAAGTTTTCGCCACTTTGGCCTGGATCCAGTTGCTTTCTTCTTCATCTTCCGATGCATCTCGAGGATTGGGAGTGGTATTCTCCACACGGTTTCCCTGGCTATACTTTGCTATCTTGTGCGGTCGTTCCGGACTTGGAGAATCGGTATCCAGGCTGAGGTCCTCGTCCCCTTCCGAATCCTCCACCTCGCCACGATCCTGCCATCGCTTCATTGGACGCTTGAAGCATCTCTGTCAAGTCGATGATGACATGTGGTCCAGTGGTGCTGCGTCATGTGCTGCTATCCCGTGTCCTTTTGTCGTCTCGAAACTATTCCATGCAGGACGACGCGTGAAGTCGCGTGTTGGCGTGCGAGCTGCGCACGGACACTTTTTGAAACCCCRCCACAAAGCAGACACGAGGCGGCCTCGCAGCACGTGCACATAGTGCCAGCACTGCAACGTAACGTAACGCCTACCTGACTGTCTTCCAAGCAACCTTTCGGAGATCGCAAGTCTTGTTGAGAGCCAAAGAATACCCACGGCCTTGGAGAAGAACAACACATCCACAATCATGGCGCAAGACCCCCGAGCACTCTTACAAAAGGTAGGACAGAACTCATGGCGCATGCGACAGACCAGAGCTGATTCATTCCAATCTAGGCGGAGAAGGCCGCGCAGTCTGCTGGAGCCGGATTCTCGCTCTTTGGAGGCCGGACGGAGAAGTACGAGAATGCCGTGGAGCTATATACACAGGCGGCAAATGCCTTCCGTATGCAAAAGGCAGGCAAGGAAGCGGGACAGGCATTTGAGAGAGCCGCCGCGCTCCAATCAGGCAAATTGAGCGAGCCTGATGATGCCGCAAATACCCTCACTGAGGCCTACAAGTCATACCGAAAGGACGAGCCCGAAGACGCAGCACGAGTACTTGAGCAGGCAATCAACCATTACACATTAAAGGGCAACTTCCGAAGGGCGGCAACGCACAAGCAGAACATTGCTGAGCTATACGAAGTGGAGCTTGGAGACCAGAAGCGGGCTATGGAGGCGTACGAGATGGCGGCGTCTTGGTATGAGAACGACAATGCTGAACAGTAAGTCAAGACGACTTGAATTGAGGTATACACGGCGCAGCTAACATGGCATGATAGACTCGCCAACAAGCTCTATCTCAAGCTTGCCGACATTGCCGCACTGGAGGCGGACTACCTCAAAGCCATCTCCAACTACGAACGCATCGCCAAATCCGCCATCAACAACAACCTCATGAAGTGGTCCGTGAAAGAGTACTTCCTCAAGGCTGGTATCTGCCACTTAGCAAATGGCGACTCCGTCGCAACAAGCAGAGCGCTGGAGTCGTATCGGGAGACCGATCCTGGGTTCACACAGACGAGAGAGCACCAGCTGTTGGTAGATCTCTCCGAAGCTGTAGAGGAGGGAGACCAAGAGAAGTTCGCCGACAAGCTGTTCCAATTCGATCAGATGTCAAAGTTGGACAAATGGAAGACCACGCTGCTGCTTCGAGTGAAGGAGAGTGTGGAGAGCAAGGAAGAGGATTTTGCTTGAGCTTGTTCGGGCATCGGAGGAGTTATTGGTGTCCAGTCCAGTCCGGGTGGCAACATACGCGGAAGAAGTCTTCGTAGAGCATGGCAGTTCCTAGACGTATTACGGCCGATTGCATAGCTTGTCCTCCCATCAACCCTGTGCGTCGTGATTATAAGGCATCGTGCAGCATGTTTTCCTCACTGCCACTCTTCATCCCGTACGAGGCTGTCCATCTTCTTTATCGGGCTGACTATTACGATCCCGCGGCGAAGGGCCCCCAAAGAGCATCTGGCGTATACCCCATGCGAACCCGCCCTTTTGAGCATTGGTGAGCTCCTCCTTCGCCTCTTTAAGATCGCTCTGTATCGCCTGACTGATTGCGGTTTCCGAGTCTTTCACGGTATTGTGTTGCACACCGAATGTACCCTCTTTCGCCAATTGCTGCTCTTCCAATGCTGGTTGCAATGCTGTGTATGCTGTAGGATGGTCAGCGTCAATTTTTGTTCAAGCAGCTCAATCGGGGTGTGTCGGGTGCCTTTACCTGTTGCTACACCACAGACTGTGGCTCCTATTAGCCCTATCGCGTTGAAACCTCGGCCGCGCATGATGCAATCTATCTCTTGGTCATTAAAGCGACAAGAAGATGAGGCACAAAGTGTACGACGTTGGAGCAATGTAAAGTATGTTCCCGTCAATGATGACGGGATGCTTTCCGCCCTAGCCTGTGTCCGTCTTTGGTTCCTCAGGCCAAATTCCACCCTATTCGAGGTATTCGTTGGCCTACATTTCATTTGCACATTGCTTCGATATACACAGTAGAAACGATCTCTTTCAATCGTGCTGAACTCTCACCGAGCAACCTGGCTGTCATTACTCCCGCACCGGAGGCACTCTTCGCTCATGCAACGGACTCCAGCTCATCCGCTTTTCTCCTCGAGGAAGCTTGCCAGCCAAATACTGACCCGATTAACTACCACCACCGCCCTCTCCCATGTCTTTCACCACGCGTGGAGTTCTTTGTGTTGCAATGAGCATCTTTCGCGAATCCGTCACTTGAAATTGGCCTCAACGCTTCCGTATGGTACGCCATCCACCCGAAGTTCAAAGACCAATCCRGCGCTCTGAATTCGCATGGAAATCTCAAAGTCCAGATTATCAAACTCAATCCCTTTGGTCGTTGTCAAGCGAGTGAACAAGGCTTTGGGGACAGCGTTGAGATCTGTAGTGAGGGTACAAACGCTGACGAGATCTTTGGTGTAGGCGTCTGGCGCATGATCGCTCTCGCAGCCGATCAATTCATCTTCAACGCAAAGAGATTGGCCCGGGCGAAAGTTGCGGGTGTAATGGAACGATATAGGCTGATCGGCAGAAATGGGTGTTCCCTTGGACATGATTAGCCGACGTTGGCGAAACAGAACTTGGAAGGAAGTCGCTGGCTTACCTTGTTGACATGCCACTGCATTCGATCGCTCACCATCCACCGCTCCCAGAGTGGACTCCAATAGCGATCACTGATGGGATGTTTGGTTTCGTCAAAGACCGTAGCGTAGCTTGTGCCGTAGTGCCACCGACTACGCCGTGTCTCCACCAGACTACCTTCTATGCCTCGAATCACGGCGCCGCGCACGACTGCAGTCCATGCATGCAGCGGCTGTAGCACCTCCACGCTCTGCTGTGGTGCCTGCGCTGCCTCGTGTGTGGGTTTCGTGGTGTACGCAGGCGGAGGTACAGCGTTGAAGTGTTGCTTCACCCTCGTGTACAAATAGTTCGATTGTCCAAAGCCACCCACAAGTATGATGCCTGAAACACTTCCGCCTTTACTTTGAACAGCATCTACCTGTCCTTCCACCAAGCCGATGACTTCGTTAATCACAGGATCGAAGATGGTTTTCACCTCTTCTGCTGCAAGGACCATGAAACCGCTTTCCAGCCCAGCCTCTTCATCATCCGGTAGCCCGGGAAAGGGAACGTTGACTTCTTCGTGCTCCTCTTCGTTGAAATTACGTTTCACAAACTCGTCGAAATATCTCAATCCCATCATCCATGTCTTCGGTTTCTTGTCTCGCATCTCTTTGTACCGATCGACACCCAACCGCTGTCTCACACAATCTTCGAATCGATAGTTCAGGAACGCCGAGCCGCATAGCCCTCCGGTCCCTACGGCACTCTCCTCGATCCTCAAGGGGTTGACATGTGTAATCTTGTAGGCGATGAGGTCCACAGTACCACCACCGGCGTCGCACACAATGTAGTTTTCACCCAATTTGAGTCCGCTCGGTTGAATCGTCTTGAGGGTGTAGACTGCCGCGGCCTCGGGTTCCGATATAAGCTTTAGCTCATGCCTGCTTCCCATTCCCGCTCGTTCGGCGGCTTGCAATGTAGCATTCTTCGCCGCGTCTGACCAAAGAGCAGGCACGGTGAGAATGAATTCCACCCGGGTAGACTTCATGAATCCCTCTCCATATCGCCTTGTCATTGTCTCAATGGTGTGATCGTAGATCTTCTTCAGATAGTCTGTAACAGCATCCATAACGGTACGGCCACATTTCCGGAGCTGTGCCGCAGTGTCCAAAGGGCTTACGAAATGAGGAAGCGTCTGGTTGCGATCCAGGAAGAGCTTGATACAGCGAAGCCTGCTGTCTTCGGGCTTGAATTGGAATCCCCACCGTATGTCGTGTGTATCGCCGCCTTCTCCATTGGGCTTGGGAGGTCCATAGGCGATCTCTGTAGGGCATTTGTCACTCGTGATACCATTTCCTCCCGGCCAACTCTTGACAATATCCACATCATCTGGTGTCGCACTATAGGCAGCCGCTACACCACTAAAGGTTGTGCCAAAGTCGACCCCGACAATCAACTTGTCCTCTCGAGGTGGTTCGTGATGCGGTTCGTCGAGCGCAAGGGCACGCAGCTTCGCCTCGTTGCCGCCGTTCCCGTTCATGATCGCTCCTTCAGGATCCTGGGCATTCCGGGYCATGCCAGAAGCAGATATGCTCGTCGCGTGCGCTCAAGGTCAGCCAAGTGTGGACTCTTTGGAGGCAGACGAGCGCGCGAGTAAAGCGCTTCCCATTCGCAAGGGAGCTTCGGGCCAAAGCGACCGTTGGGAAACTGGTACAGAGGGGCAAGGATTGAAGGGCACAGCGCTGAGCGGATCGCTGAATAGGGTCAGGAAGACGAAAGGGGATCCCACCGTGCGGAGAGCTGAGCTCAATGTATATGTACTGTACGGTATCAAATGCCTGGCGTTTGGTACATGATACAACCTAAAAGTGACGAAAGTGTCTCAGTGATGGTGCGGAAGCGAGCAGTCGCTCTGGCGGACTCGCATGCAGCCACAGAAGTGGGGACGCACTCAATGGCTCGGCCATGATGATGCTTTGTGTGGAAGGATGCAAACCCAAAAAGTGTCGTTGGCTGTTCCCCTTGCCAGTGATCTCCACATTCGCCTCCAACACCACCTCTACACATATCAGCTCCTCGTTTCCTGCTCATCAATCTGGCTTGAGACGGCGTGATCTAGCCTTTAGGTGACGTATGGATAGCGGCTTACAATCCCTTAACGCCACGTCTGATATTATTGTCGCGGAATTGAGGAGCCGGATAGCCCCGTGTCTCAGGGATAGAACGAGAGAACCCTCTGCGTGCGCTGGTGAAATCGCCGGACAATGAACTTTGCAATATCAGGTAGAAATTTTGTACGCGAGATTTCGGGACGCGCGAACGGCAATGCTTCGCGATGAAATCAATCATGCTTCGCCTTCTGGCAGATCAAAATCGGCAGACTCTGGTGAAGAAGGCTATGACGTGCGCAACAAAGGAAAGGTGTCAGTTGAAAAGACACCGACTCCCAAGAAAGCCGTCGGGGACGACGCTTTGGAGGTTCTGAACGCAAGTCCCGCATCGATGTTCGCTCCTATTTCCACGGGACACGACAGCGAAGCGAGCAGCCCAAGCTCGATCAGCCGCAAACGTAGCCTCAAGCGTGCAGGTTCCAACATCGCCAGTCTTAGGGCTACATTTGAGCAAACAGAAGCGTTAGCAGTGCCTGTCAGACGCTTTGAAAAGAGACCAAGTCAAAATTCCCCGGATCGCGTTGATAGCATTCCGAGGAGCGGTTGCGAGCAGGACGAGATAGCACGATTGGAAAGGCAGCTGGCGAATGAAGTCGAAATGAGACAATCCTGCCAGAGTCAGCTGAAGTCGTCCCAGGAACGCTGCGAGCAACTGGAACTGGAAGTCCGGGCAGGTCGAGAACAACGGCTGCAAGTTCCCACCGAGTTCCAGAACAGAAGCAATGGCCCCCAAGATGACAGAGTCGAACGAGGAGAGAGCAGGAGCATACAGCGACAGCTCTATGAGCTCAAACGCAGCATCTCCACGGCCACGCGGATTGAGAACCAAGTGTCAGACTCTACATTTGCGCAAGAATTCGCAAACCTCCATCACGAACTTCAGAATTTCATCGTAAACACGTTCCGCCGTGTGAAGCTCACATCGACATCCGAGGAGCTGTGTGAAAGGCTAGAGGAAGTGACAGTAGTGCCGAAGCAACGGGGATACCTGCAATCATTATTTGTGGCGTTTCAGCCGGCCATGAAGTTGCCCGCGTTCCAAGCAACGGCAATATGCGTCCTGATGGAAGCATTCGAGGATCCATTACTGTTCGGATTGCCAAATCAACAGAATTGGCGAGACGACTTGCGGGAAACAATGAAAACGCTGCCTTCAATACTTACACCATCAGCATTCAACAAATGGCGATATCTCACGCTAGACGCTGTGAGGCAGAGTGTCGGTATCGAACAAGCGGTGCACTCAGCAGCCAGCCAGCTTTCCGATATGATTTGCGTCACCCTGAGCGCCCTTACCGATATGAAAGACTTGGGCACTCGAGCATCATCGCTCAATACAATTGTTATGCGTGCCGTGCAGCTGTCGCATCTTTTCAGAGTGCAGCGGGCTCAGTACGAGTTTTTTCTGCCGGCGCCTGGAGCTCCTTTCCAGCCGGACCTGATGGAGGACTGTGCCGTCGATGCTGATTCGTCTTCTCAACGCACTGTATGGTACGCAACCTTCCCGTCGGTCATCAAGCATGGCGACGAAGACGGGAATGACATGCTGCTTTCAAATGTGGTGGTGAAGGCGAAGGTGATCTGCAGAGGTTGAATCATCGGGGGAGAGCCTTCAGCTCTTGATTGCATCCTTCGAGACTTTGCGCTTCCGACCTGAAGGTGGATCGTTGAGCCAACGAGTGATGGTCTCGTTGTCATGTGTCGAATCATCCGTGGCCGGGATCCGAGCAGCGCCAACAGTATCACACTCCACTGGTCTGCGGCTTCGAACAATGTCGCCGTTGATGAGACGATCCTGAAATTCCACGTCGCGTTCAATGATTGCCTCGCGGCGACGGAGCCCCGGACTACTGTTCACACTTGATGTGGTTGCGGAGACTGGGGTCGTCACAGATGCCAGCTTCGCATTCGGCTCCGTGGAAGCAGTCTCAATTTGGGGAGGAATCACTGCCGCGGGTGTTTGCAGCTTCCGCATGCTCTCTTCGAGCTCACTGAACGATCCAGTGAACACGCGTGGTACGACGTGCCCAATGCGTCGAGCCGCCGGGGCAGGTTGACGTTGGACGGCCGACGTGTCTGGCGTGCTATGCGCGGTGTATTTCACATTTGACACGGCAGGCCGCCGATTGACTGCTTCCTCGACTGCACTGAAGGACTGGCCCACGCCGCAAAGATGGCTGGGTGCACTCTCCTGGACATTGGTACTGGCCGCTGCCTTCGCCTCTTGGAATAAAGAGAGCCATGAGACAGCGGGTGGCATTTTAACAGCTCTATTGCTCAGCCTTAAAGCGAGTCCTTCACTACGCTCATAGCAGAGGTGATGATAGTCGGCGATTTTCCTGGTAAGCTGACTCGCCCAATCGGCGGCCGTGGCGACGAGACAATATCTAAAAGCAAACAAGAGTCAGCGTTGTCTCACACATCGACAGCGGCAGACAAAGGTTTGAGGCGCGTCTTCCGAGACTGAAGGTCCTTTCATTGGTAGTACCTTGCAGTCCCGGGGCGTTATCTTTGGGCCTCCCATTGTACTTACAGCTCCGTCATGTCAAGATATGTAGCAGTCAGCTCGGGGTCGAGCTCCCAAATCTGATGACTTGGATTCTGCCGGTGCAACTCCAGGAACGGGTGATAGATTTTGTCGTCAAAATGCGCGGATATCAGCTCGAACAATTCCTTCGTGCCAGGCAGCCTTTCCATGTCGCTCCTGCTCGAGTCAACATGGTGGCTTGCTGAGCTTCTAGCACAGACCATACTAAGTACTCACCTGAATTCTTGTTCGAGGATCCGCACCTTGAACTTATCGGCGGTGTCTGATGGATTGAATGGACCATTCTTGGAGGTCGCCGCGATTCGGAACTCCTCAACGGTGTGAGAATGCAGGCGGTGGAAGGAGTGCATATGCTTTCTCGCGTCAGAGGCCTCCTCCGAGATGAGTCTCGATCCAGTGCACCATTCCATGTCTCCCGTGTATGTGCGCCTCAACAGCTTGGACATGCGGTTGAACAGGGCGAGCAGGTCGTGGAGCGCGCTGAACTCTGGGATATTGATGTGGCCGAWGGCGAGACGCGACTCGAGGTATTTCAGCGCCTCGGACTTCATGGTTCATGCGGTTGCAGTGGAACAATGGATGTGGGAAGGCGTGCGGGCGCGAGTATCAAGTTGACAGTGACGAAGGATGGCGAATGAGTGAGAGAGGGAGGAGGGAAGTGGGGCGGAGTGTTTGTTGATGGACTGAACACGATCACGCTGGCTGATCCCGCTAGTCCACCATGGTAGCTGGGGCGTAGACACAGGTAGAGRGATGTTCAATCGGAAACCCTCATATGCCCAAGAAGAACGAACTTGCTGGATTCAACCGCATCGATGTGTCATGAGCGAGGGACACGGAAACTGAAGTTTGCCGTCGGGCAAATCGAAGAGGTATGCTCGCAATCAGGGTGCTATTACCATAGGAGCAATGATGCATAGGGTCTTTGACTGGTATCACGACGACATCTCTAGCTGTAGAAACGGAACGAATGCAGCATGACCTGAGAGAAATATTTGTATTGTATTACCTGCTACCTACATTGAAGATGACGACAGAGCGCACGCATATACGTTTGTTCCATGTACAGGTCTGTACCGAATAATTGATGGTTACCAAGCCATTGAAATCCCTTTCGAGTGAGTTGGCGACTGTTATTACTTCAATCCGGCTATAAGCCAATGCGTTCCTCTAGACTCCCGAGCATAACGCCCAAGAGAAAGATTCCGGCCGGCAGCTTGCTCTTCGCACATCGACTAATTGTCACACCATATAGCCATGGAAGTGGAGTTGTGCCAACTTAAGATAGTGCGGTGAAGGGGTTGGGGGTTCGCAAGGGGAACGGAGAGGAGAGGCGCGACTACTCACACCGATGAGAAGTGGAGAGACACATTGCAGCCATAGCCGAGTTGAAGATTGGAATTGCTGCTTGCTTCATCAGTCTTCTCCGTCATCATCGTCAGTCTGCCCCGGAACGTCAAGAACGCGGTCTCCAGCAGACTGAAGTGTCTTTCGACTCCACGCACGTACGCCTTTCCAAACCGCAAACAGGAATGTGCAGATACCAACGAGCAGGGCGACCCATCCGAGTTGTTGAAGTCTGTCTCTACCGCTCCCGCCAGCTGCACTTCTTCCCATGCCGCCCGTTCGGATGACGTGGAAGGGCGAAAGGGTGAACATGAATTTAGCAAAGCCGAGCAGTCCAAGCGAAGCCACTCCCTTAGCCCAATGCTCCAACCAGGTCGCATCCTCGTCCTCATATATGAGGGACCCCGTTGGCCCACCACGGGTAGCGATTGTGTCGACGGGATCAAGGTACATGTTGATGATCGGGTCAGCAACGAAGCCCAGCAGGAAGATGCTAACGAGAAAGATCAACAGCGTCAAACCGACTTGTGCGGTAGTGCTACTGATCCAGGAAGACCACGTCAAGCGCTGCAGCCGATACCGGTAGCGACAAGTCGGGCACTCCCAATAATTACGCTTCTGTGTAGGATCGGCGCGGCGCCAGGCGTTTAGGCAGGCCTCATGGACATATTTCTGGCTGCCTTTACATTTGCAAGGACTCATGAGCCGACCGTCTTCACTCTCGTAGGTGACACGCGGCAGCGGCCGGAGTGCATCAGGCAGAGGCAAGGCAGTGTCCTGGTGGATAGTTGGGTGCACTACCTCGAGACATATACGGCACTGGCGGGGTGGATAGTGGGTCCTCGCGCGTCGCGGCGGTGGCTCTGCAGTGGATGTGGGCTCGTTCTTCGGCTGCTGCGGTTGTTGTTCGTCGTCGCCATCGTGCTTCGGTKCGCCAGGAGGAGCAGTATTCTGTTCTCCTCCTCGTGCTTTCTGCTCCGCTTGCCCTTCCTGCCCGAATGTTCCGGGAATGTCCGCTGGAAATGACCAGCTTGCTCCTGTGCTGTACGCGGCGGCCATGGCGGATTAGAGTCTGTTTGAATGGATGTGTCGGTGATGGTAATGGTAAGCGCTTTAGTTCAGCCAATGGTAAGCGCTTTAGTTCAGCCAACTGCAAGAGTGCCACATGCACAACATTCCTTTGTTCGCATGTTGATCGCGCTGGTCAGGCGGAGAGAGGCGGCACTTGTAGTGGTGAAGTGAGGAGGAGAATAATCGGGAAGAGATGTGTCCACCGAGAAGAGAGCTAGTTCTAAGAGACTAGGCCAAGTCTAGCCAGCTCTCGTGAAGGCAGTCACCGAGCTTCGCGTACGACTTCATAGGACAGCTCAACTTAGGTTGCATGCAACATCAGAACTTCATCTGCTCCACGACATCACCATCCTCCACCTCAACATACTGCCCGGCCAGCATTGTATCGTCTGTTAGCTGCACACCATTGCGATACAAGTAACGACAGCGATCCTCTCACACCTCCCTCGTGCGCATAGCACATCTCAAACACACCATGGCCGACCGCTACAGCTTCTCCCTCACAACTTTCTCCCCCAGGTGCGTTGCGAATCCAGTCAACGGTTATGCAAAGCGATCGATGCTAACATCAATTACAGTGGAAAGCTGGTACAAATTGGTAGCGCGCCCAGCAGCATTGATACATCCGCATCAACCACTGACCTATATCYCAGAATATGCGCTCAATGCCGTCAACCAAGGTGTGACATCGCTCGGTATCAAGGCGGCCAATGGAATCGTCCTCGCCACAGAGAAGAAATCATCCACACCGCTCATCGATGCCTCATCCTCGTCCAAGGTCTCGCTCATCACGCCCAACATCGGCATGGTCTACTCTGGCATGGGTCCCGACTACCGCGTGCTGGTCGACAAGGCACGCAAAGTCAGCCACACGGGATACAAGCGGATATACAACGAGTACCCACCGACACGGATATTGGTGCAGGATGTGGCGCGCGTGATGCAGGAGGCGACGCAGAGCGGTGGCGTGCGGCCGTACGGTGTGAGCCTGCTGATTGCGGGCTGGGATGATGGCATTGAGCCTGAGCAAGAGGAGCAGAAGGCTGCCGATGGCATGGCAGTCGACGCTGACGCGCCAAAGAAGCCGACGGGCAAGACGGGAGGCATCCTCAAGGGTGGGCCCAGCTTATATCAGGTCGATCCCAGCGGCAGCTATTTCCCGTGGAAGGCGACGGCTATTGGTAAGAGCGCTACAAGCGCAAAGACGTTCTTGGAGAAGCGGTACACGGAGGGATTGGAGTTGGAAGACGCAGTGCACATTGCGCTGCTGACACTAAAGGAGACGATCGAGGGTGAAATGAACGGCGACACTGTGGAGATTGGTATGTATTCGTGGTGGATGGAGTGCTGATACACATGCATATGCTGACTTTTTCCAGGCATCGTCGGCCCACCCGCAGATCATCTGCTCGGATACGAGGGCGTCGAGGGCGCTTCCGGCCCACGGTTCAGAAAGCTCAGTCCTGCGGAGATCGAGGACTACTTGACCAACTTGTAGATTATCATCAAGGCATAGAGCGGCGTTTTCGGAGCGATAGCATCCGTGGGGAGGATTACAGATACCTGTACGAACTAGCACGTTGCCACGCTCTTCTTGCTTTGTCATTGCAATTCCACAGTGATACGGGAGAGACCGCAGCGTAAAGCTACTCCACTTCAGTCGCTCCTACAGTGGACGACTCCTCGATCCCCATTGCTTCACCATCATTCTCAGAGCTCAGCCCAGCTACATGAACTTTCCTTTTCCGGCGGCGCGATGTCCCCCTGGCCTCTAGCAGCTTGCACGCCTTGTAAGCTGCCTTCACCTCRGCCTCTTCCTTACTCCCGCAGTCCCCAACAGTCGCGACCGACTCGTCGCCAACGATGACGGTACAGGCAAACGTCCTCCCCCCATTATCCTTCTCACTGCGACTATTTTCATACCGAACCGCGTCCCGATCAGCAAGAATCCCCATTCGTTCTTTTGGTGAAAGCGTATCCACATGATCGTTCAAGATCCGCTTCATGTGTTTGAATATCCCAAGCCTATCTGCAAAAGCTTCACAGACGCTCATATCGCCTCTGGAGTCGACGAACAGGGCACCCAGAATAGACTCCACTAGGTCACAGAAGAACTTTTGCGGGCGCTCTGCTACCAGTGCGGGCCAGGGGTATTCCTTGCTGTTGGCCAATGCTTCGTCAATTTCTGCATGCAGTTGCTCAAAGGCTGCGAGAGACTTTTGCTTCAGAGGCAATAGTTGAGAACCGCAGCGAAGAAGATCGTAGAGATGGAGTTTCCTGACAGACACTTCGATCTCGCACGAGTCACCGCTGAGAACCACTTGTTCCATTGCCTGTTCCACCTCATAGCTCATGCACAGGTGCCCCAAAAAGGCTGAGTTGACCAGAGCTTCGTGGATTCCGTGCATCTGGTCATGTCTAAGGTTACGGGCATGGGCGAATAATTTGGGCGTGACCAGCATATCCAGTACTGAATCGCCGAGGAACTCCAATCGTTCGAGGGACAGGCCGGTTTTGTTGTAAGGAAACGAAACGTGGGTAAGGGCCTCTATCAAAAGTGTTTTGTTGGTGAAGGTATGTCCCACAACCTGCTCGAGGAGCGATAAATTGTTCACTTCGCATGGTCGGAGTTCTCCAATCATGACGTCGAAACAGTGTCGTGGTGAGAACCAGGTTTCCGTTGGCAGAAGCGTTTGGATACACAGCAGAGCTTGTTCTATCTTGCCACCATCGACGAAAGCGGCTCCGATGAGTGCCTCGACAACATCGGCCAGTGTCTTAGTGGAAATTTGGCGTTGCTTGGGTTCATTCGAGACGATCTCGCTGACGTAAAGTGGTCGCCACTTGCTGCCGGTAAATTGCGTGGTGAGGATGTATTTGTCCAAGCCAAGGTCCATTGCTGCCTTTGCTAAATTGGTGTTTCGTACCATTCGATCACGCTCGAGAGTCAGATATGACTCTGGCCATGTTGGATGCTGGGCCATGACTTGTAGCTCTGTACAGTGCTTGAGGCAAGTGTCGCCTAGGTACTCCAAGCGATTGTAATCATGCATCTCGCCAGTGGCCGGAGCGCTGATAGCTTCTAATACGAGAGATACGTTGCTGATACCCACATTCTGCAAAACGGTATTGTTCAACTCGGCAGCCGAGAGGGCTGTGTCCATTCGGTGTATAATTGATGGAGCGAACGCCGCGAACAATGCGTATTTTGCTGGCAACAGATCGATGGTACAATCGCTCAAAGAAAACGACTGGGCGGTCGTATACGCAGCGTTTGTACCCGCATCAGATGTAACTGGATGCAAAAAGTCTCTGCGCTTTGGGAAGCTCAAGACTACAAGCTGGTCATGTTGTACCCCTGAAGAMAAATTCCCATTCTTGGCATCAAGAAAAAATGTGCGACCAGCCTGGCTGGATACGCGAACTACGCCGGCTTGCTCGAGTGTACCGGCTGCAATGAACTCAGATGCTGTGCGATTGCCGTGGACCTCTTGCAGCCATGTCCCGAGATCCGCAACCGCTGACGGAGCAAACAGTACGAGAAAGTCGTCTGCCTCGGACGCCATGCGACTGGCATGAACAGAACTGAGAAGGACCTTGGTTGTCGCTCGCAGTAGTCTCAATTGCTCCCTGTCCATGCTCAATCGAGTAGTAGTAGGGCGAGTAAACTGAACAGTGTATGTCACTTCGCGGTTCCAGTAAAGCACGATGTCTTCTAACTTTGGTGGCTGGAATGGCGTCCAAACATCCATCTCGACGAGTTTCTCCTCAACCAGACTTATGCTCAAGCTGGTGTTGTACCATGAGTGCTCGTTTATGCCACCTTCGTAGGAAACGGCCAGTGAAAGTTTGCGGTCTGAAACGCAAACGATCGAAGGCTGGTCATAGTGTTGACCGGTCTCGGGCCCATACTCCTTAGTCAAAGGAAGCAAGTTGTCGTTGATCAGACAATTCTTATGCAATTTGACGTATGCTTCGAACGCCGCATCCTTCACTGCCTGATCCTCAGTTTTCCAGGCTCGTGCGGAGGAGGCATGGCGAACACTGATGTGAACAAAGGAAGGTAAATCAACGACTGCAGTCCACAACTCAGTAGTCGGATCTTGTACGGTGTCAAACTCAGGCCGTAGGTCGATGTAATTGCTTGCGTGCATGGTGCCTACGCTACAAAAGTGATAGAGATGAGCTTTGGCATTGTCCAGAGTAAGAATAGCGCCCGTGGCATCAACACGATACAGCCTGTCGCCTGGATCTGGGTCTTCATCGACTCTTTCATTGAGTTGACGGGTATCGTCCATGTATAGTTCTTTCATTCGAGCCTCGAGAGCCTCCCACGGCCTGTTCTGCCTCTTGTGGTCGTCTTGCGAGACGAAAAGTACGTATTTGGAATCATTTTTCCTCGCTCGTCCCCGCCGCTGAACGAACGAAACGAGGTTCTTCGGTATCTCGAAGCAAACGACGAGATTGCAAGAGGACACATCAATCCCTTCTTCGAGTACGCTTGTACATATCAWCAGATTTTTGGTACCAGAGCGGAAGGCGTCAAGGTCGGCTTGCTGATCTCTGATGTCGACCAGATCGGCAAGCGATCCTTTGCGTTTTGATGAGGTGGAAGTGCCAACGAATGAGGCGATTTTGTACGAATTTCGAACTTCTGGTAGTCGTCGAAGGAGCTCTGTCAGTGCAGTGACATGTACTCGTTGCTCCACGAAGATAATGCCACGCAGCGAAGGACTGGCAGACTTCTGTAGAACCTGCACCAGCTTTTGCGCCTTCTCGGTAATACAGGACGTGTCCAGCGCCTCCTGGAAATCAGACACACTATGACCCTTGACTCTAAGCAAAATGCTGGCCAAGTGCGATCTTTCGCGTTCGGAGAGGTCGGGAAGGACGGTGCTCTCTGATGCAATCCCTTCGCTGAACCTATCAATGCACGTCGACACGTACCAGCTAGCGATCGATGGCCCGAATTCCGTCTCCAGAGTTGAGGCGCGCAGATCGAGGGCCCTGATCTGCTCAAGGCTGTACGTTTTCCGTTTGTTCATGACCGAGATGAGTTCTTTCGTGGCCTTCAGGTCATCTCGTTCTCGTAGATCAAGGACGTAGGGATCGGTATTGACATCGTAGCTTCGAGCTTCCCTTGCAAGGGCGGAACAAACATTGTCCGAAATAGCTGGGACGTCCGCAGAGTATAGGACTACTTCTACCCGCGGTGCATTGACATGACGCTCCAGCTCAGCTCGGTGGGTCTTTGGAGTGACCGAWATAGCGTGGAGATTGGCCTCTAGCATCTCAAGGCTACCATGTTTTGAGTTCACGACAGGGCTCGCTGTGAGGCCAAGGATCGCCGGCACTTTCAGTCCACGTTTTTGCGCGGGGTCGATGAATTGCATGTTGATTGTGTTCATTGGGTGCTTCTTGGTCGCGTGGTGTGCTTCATCAAACACGAGGAGAGAAATGCTCGTAATACTGACGAATGCGTGGGTGAGAGCGTCCAAAAGCACGGCGGGGGTCGCAACGACCACGTCCACATTGTTGAGAGTCGCATCCCAGAGCTTCTGATCAGTCCATTTGTCGACATTGTCGAGTCCCGTTAAACTTATGGTGCGATATGCTGGCAATTCAGCTGAGATAGCTTTCTGCTGTTGCATCGCCAAGGCGACAGAGGGCGTCAAGAACCAAATGGTCTGAAGTGCTGTGGTCAGAGTAAGATGCTCATAGGGCAAAGAATATGTACGGGGCCGTAACGATGGAATCCGCCTACCTTTGGGCATTCCGCATTCTCGAGCTCTCTTCTCATGCGAGCGATGGCAATGTGCGTCTTCCCTGAGCCCGTATCCATTGCTACAATGACATTACGTTTCATGCTAGCTTCCAGCATCTCATGTTGGTAAGTTCGGAGTTTGACACCGCCATCGTCTGCGGCGGACTTCATTATTGTAGGCGACTCCATTGTAGGCGGCTCCATTATAGGCGACTCCACTGTAGGCGACTCCATTGATGGGGAATCAGAAGGATAAGGTACACCGTGGTGGGCTCAGCTGAAGTGCAGGAAGGAAGAGGAAGAAAAGGAAGGAGAGGAAGTTATGGGCATTCACCCATACTGCGAAAGGAAACTCCAACATTTTGCGGGCATCGAGGCTCCCTTGCTTGCTGAAATGATCGAAGGCGATGCACCGCACATGAGATGTTCAATGTGTGTGACAGTGAAACAAGATACGGGAAGGTAGGTTCTTCGGTTCGCCGGGCGCCGTTGCTCTCCTGCAGGGTCAAGCTTCGATGAGATCTTCCATCGTCGCGCATCCGCATCCACGTTTCTGCGTTTCACATCCACACCTCCATCATCCCATCCCACTCCTTGACCTCCACCAACCTCACGCGTGCCGTCCTGGCTCTTATTCTTCCGGAACGTGCGTCGCGACAGCAAATAAAATCCCGGCCGTCATTGTCAATGCTGACAAGTTGCCTCACAGATCCTCCTCCTTTTTAATACTTAATAAGCAGTCTTACCTTGCTGTCCACAAATCCTCCACCTGTCCTCGCCAACCCACTTGGAGATCTTCGTCAAAATGCGCGCCTCTACGATCGTCCTCGCGCTGCCTGCGCTCGCCGTTGCTCAGCAGCAAATCCCTATCCTCGACCAAGTTCGAGGATGGTTCGACAAGGCCACGGCGTCTCTATCGGCCGTGGTCTCGTCGGCCACAGAAGCCATTCCCTCCGTCGCCGTTCCGGACCCCGTTGCATCCGGCGCAGCAAAGATTGCTGACCTTAAGGTCGAACGGTGAGTGCAGAATTAGGTGCAATAGGATCACGGACGTGCTCTAATCGTGTAACGTCACAGCTTGGGACTGGACAACCACAATGAGATCGTCCGGCCTGGTTCGCCAACCGCAAGCACTGGCATTGAGACCTGGATGGTGCTCGTGACCGGCGGAAACAAGACGTGCTTTGGCATGTGCGACACTGCCGAGACGGCTTTCAACAAGAGCGTTGCGCTTCTGGCAGCTGCACCCTCCCCGCCAAGTTTGGCAATGCTCAGCTGCGAGTCGGATCCCGTACTCTGCCACGCATGGGCTGCCAGCCCTCCCTCAATTCTTCACATGCAGCTTCCGCAGCCTCTCGCCGACCAGTCCCTCCCGGCYTCGACCGTGCGCTACATCCCACTCAACCGCACCACCGTCACAGCATCGCAGATTGCGGCCTATCACATCCAGGACAAGTACCTCGAAATCACCCCATACGAGGGATACTTCCACCCATTCGACGGTCCCCTCGCAAAGTACCAGCTCTCCATCCCGGCCGGATACCTGATTTGGGGCTTCTCCCTGGTTCCCTCTTGGGCATTCATGATCGGCATCTCATTCCTCAGCCGCACGTTCATGGGCAGACGCATGGCCGGCCAGGCTGATCGTGCGGCAGCTGCTCCTGCGGCCGCGGCTCAGTAAAAGTCTTATAGTCACAAATGAACGAGCGAAGGAAATATACCCATACCAAAAGTAGCATGTGTTGGAAAACAAGAATATGTGCAATAAGAGGGCAAATAGTTGAACCAAACTCTGGCATGTGAATGAGAATCTGATTGCAGGCTACGAGACCTATCACATTGTGTTGCAGATGCTCTTCGTTCTCACAATGATCATCTTCAGCTGGGAATTCAAGGTATAAGTAATACCACTTTTTCTCATGTGGATATTGATCGCATCAACGGGCAATTCCTCGCGTCTCACTTGCACGCCTCCCAATTAATTGCACTCCCCGAATTTGCGAAATCAAAAACGCCGGAGCGCCTCGCTAAAGTCCCTCAACACTGCCATATTCATGCTCATATTGATCTCATTGCATTTGTGGTCCAGCTTCGTCCAAGCCCTCGAGACCTTGCATCTATTGTCTCAAAGTAAGCGGAACTGCTTCAATAGAATAGAATGTATCTTGCGAAGCACTTACAGGATCGTCTGCTCTACCATTCGCTTCCGAATCTACTTGTTCTTCGTTGACGTTGTACTTGCTGGCATAGCCTTCTTGCTCCCCTGAAAATAAAGTCAGAATCAATTGCAAGCTCTCCTTCGGGGTACACAAACAGATGGCTGTCCTGCTACCTAGACCTTCGCCTGCGTTTTTCTGCGGCTTGGCCTGGTTGACCTTGATCACTCGTCCATAAAGCTCTGACTGGTCCATGTTGTCGATGGCTTCGAGCGCATCCTCAGCGAGTGAGAATTCGACATAGCCAAAGCCTCTGTGCGGATCTCTGTTCGATGGTCTATAACAAATTAGCAAACGTATACCTCAGTCGCGCAGGTCCAACATACAGTTCAGGCTTTGGAAGTGCTACATCCACGATTTCTCCAAATGGAATGAAGGCATCGTGCAGAGTCTGGGCGGTGACTTGCAAGTCGAGACCACCGACAAACACGGTCGATTTCTGTTTGGTCGTCTCGGCCATGTTGTTTTATTGAAATCGACTGCGAGGTGTGTAATATGGAAGATATTGTGCCTAGGACGAAGTTCTGAGGTCGATTTCTCACGTGTCAATGCGTCGGCGGATGGAAACGTAGCTGCTGCCCGCTTCAGGAGGGACAAATATAACCAAACATCCCACCAACGACCTCCCTCGAAATCTCGTCCCGTGTTCATTTTCTCGCTCTCGTCTGTTTCTTGAGTGAAGCCATTTCCCAGTCCACATGTGTGACTTGTGAGCTTCTCTTTGCAACGAAACCAACGACACGGACGAACAACAATGGTTCGCCTCCGCGAAATCCAGCGCACCGCGGTGTTTGCCTGGTCACCGGGAGCTGGAGCACCTCTACTAGTGACGGGCACGCGTGCCGGCGCCGTCAACGACGATTTCTCCAGCGAAGTCCAGCTGGAACTGTGGGATCTCGCTCTGGATCAGTTGGACCATGACGGAGAGTTAAAGCCAGCTGGCAGCATCACCACGGACGCGGGCTTCAACGATATAGCGTGGAGTGAGCCAGACGACGATCATCCTCTGGGTGTTATTGCTGGTGCGCTGGAGAATGGCTCTGTGGATCTGTGGGATGCGCAGAAGCTGCGTGCTGGCGCTGCCGATGCCTTCATTTCGCGGACCACAAAGCACAGTGGCAGCGTCAAGGCACTCCAGTGGAACCCCTACCGACACAACCTGCTGGCCTCTGCCGGTACCAAGGGCGAGATCTACATCTACGACATCAACAACATGGCCAACCCATTCCGTCTGGGTGCTACTGTAGCAAGAGCAGATGACATTGAGTGTCTGGATTGGAACAAGCAGGAGAAGACGGCCCATATTCTAGCTACGGGAAGCAGTGGTGGATTTGTCACAGTGTGGGATGTTAAGCAGAAGCGGGATATCCTGACCTTGAACAACCAGGGTCGCAAAGCTGTGAGCGCGGTGGCTTGGGACCCCGAAGAGAGCACAAAGTTGGCAACTGCGACGCCTAGCGATCAGGAGCCTTTGATCTATCTCTGGAGTCTGAGGAACAGCAGCGCGCCGGAGAGGACACTCAAAGGCCACGAACTAGGAGTTCTAGGGTTGTCGTGGTGCGTGCAGGACCCAGACTTGCTCTTGTCTTGTGGAAAGGACAATCGCACTATTTGCTGGAATCCCAAGACCGGAGAACACTACAGTGATTTTGCAGGAGGGTCGAATTGGGCATTCCAGACCAAGTGGAACCCGCACAATCCCGCGCTGATTGCAAGTGCATCGTTCGACGGCAAGATTGTAGTCACTTCCATACAAAACACAAACTCCAAGTCAGAAGAGCAGACAGCGGCAAACCAGACTCTTGATGGCGAGGACTTCTTCGCCAAGGCGCAAACTCAGCCTCAAGGTACCTCTTTCAATCTCCCCAAGGCACCTCGATGGGCATCTCGACCGGCTACTGTTTCCTTCGGGTTTGGCGGAAAGCTCATTCGAGTGAGTTCCGACGCTGCTCGCAAGAGTAAGATCACCATCGACAGCTTTGCAGTGGACGAAACTGTTGGCGAAGCCACAAAGAAATTTGACGAACAGCTCAATGGTGGAGATTTGGCTAGCATCTGCGCTAGGAAGATTGATGAGGCGCAAACTGAGGAAGAGAAAGCCGATTGGCAAGTAATTGAAACGCTAAATGCAGGCAAGTCGAGAAAGCAGCTCAGGCAGCATCTCGGTCTTGGTGATGAATTGGATGGCGACTTGGCCAAATCGGCTGAGAAGCTTGCTATCGACGACGATGGCGCAGCGAAGCCTGAAGCTGATGCCGACAAGGACGACTTCTTTGGCAATGGTGATGATGGCGACAACTTCTTGGCAGATCTAGCAGCCACCAAGGGAGCCAAGACGAACAACCCATTCCACATCTACACCGGATCTGAGTCTGATGCTGACAAGAGCATCACGCGGGCGCTGATGCTGGGAGAGTTCGAGGCCGCTCTTGACATTTGCTTAAAGGAAGACAGAATCTCGGACGCTTTTATGATTGCTGTCTGCGGCGGTCAGAAGTGCATCGACAAGGCTCAAAACGCTTATCTCAAGAAAAAGGCCAATGGTCCAAACTACCTTCGGCTTCTTGCTAGCATTGTGGGGAAGAACTTGTGGGATGTTGTCCATAACGTGGACATCAGCAATTGGAAAGAGGTCATGGCCACATTCTGTACCTACGCCGACGAGACTGAGTTTTCGGACTTGTGCGAAGCGCTTGGAGATCGCCTGGAGGAGGCTTACCAGTCGAACAACGACAAGAATCTGCGACGGGACGCTTCCTTCTGCTTCCTCGCGGGCGCCAAGCTAGAGAAGGTTGTCAACAACTGGGTTGAAGAGCTGCAGGAGAATGAGAAAGCAGTCTTGGACAAGTCAACAGACAACGATAGCTTCTCTGTGCATACCAAGTGTCTGCAGGATTTCATCGAAAAGGTATCTGTTTTCCGGAAGGTTACCGCTTTCGAAGACGCCGAGATGCAGTCGACGGCAGACTGGAAGCTTGCACCCCTTTACAGCCTATACGCCGAGTATGCAGAAATCCTCGCAGCTCATGGCCAACTTGCAAGCGCCGCGCAGTATATTAACCTTTTGCCGACGAAGTTCAACGGTGCKGAGTCAGCACAGCAGCGCATCAGACAGGCTACGACGAAGACTGCGGCTGCCACTCAGACCAGAGCCTCAACCACCCAGCGTGCGGCCACACGTGCCCAGCCTGTTATACCGGCCTTCCAGCCGGTGCAGGCAGCGCAGCCAGCGCAACCACTGATCAATCAGGCTCGCAATGCTGCACCGTCTCCATATGCGCCCGTGGGAACCGGCACGCCTGCACAGAGTATGTCCAATCCATATGCGCCGACGACGAATGCCTATGCGCCGACGACGAATGCGTATGCCCCTGCTGGATACCAAGCGCCACAGCAGCAAGCTCCATACGGGCAGCCAGCAGCGTATGGAGGATACCAACCTCCACAGCAGCAAGCTCCTCACGCACCCCCTCCGCGAGCAGGAGGAGCTGCATCACCGTCTGTTGCTCCTCCGTTCACTGCGAAGAAAGTAGGCGATTGGAACGACATGCCCGAGGGATTCCTCAAGGAGCGTCAGCCAAACTCGCGAAGGGGCACACCTGGACCCCAGCCCGTGGGCTCCCCTTTCCCAAATGCAGTACCCAACACTATGGCATCCCCTCCTCCACCTTCATCCGCGCAGTACGGCTTCCAAAAGTCGACCACACCTCTACCACCTCCTCCCAGAGCCGGCGAAGCACCTCCGCGAATCATGTCCCCGCCAATGGGCGGACCACAGGGCATTCAACGTCCAGCTTCCTCAGCAGCGAATGCATACGCTCCACAGACGCCCCAGCAGCCTGCCGGTTCAACTCTTCCACCTCCACCAGGACCACCACCTGTGCACCGCGGTGCGTCTCCATATCAGCCTCCGCCATCCACCTCCTCCGCAGCACCCTCGAGCAGATACGCGCCAGCGCCTGGCAGCCAACAGCAACCAGCGCCTGGAATCATGATGCCGCAGAGGAATGTTGCACCAAATCCGTACCAGGCTCAGCAGCAATCGCAGACGCCATACGGCCTCCCCCCACAGGCGCAAGCCCCACCACCTCGCACTGGCCCACCTCCGCAGGGACCGCCGCGAGGAGTGACACCTTCGACCCAGTCCAGTGCGGCACCACCTCAGGGACCGCCCCGAACTGGGTCGACCCCTGCCTCAGGGCCTCCGCCTGGCGCTGCCTCGACTGCAAGGCCATCCTTTCCCCCTGGCGACCGCTCACAAATCTCAGCCACAGCACAGCCAATTGTAGACCTCCTGACTCCTGAGATCACTCGTATTAGGACTGTGGCACCACCAACGTTCAAGCCTCAGGTTGAAGACATGGCAAAGCGAATCAACATCTTGTTTGACCACCTAAACAATGACGACTTGTTGAAGCCAGACACTGTTCAACAAATGGTTCAGATTGCGCAACACGTGCAGGGCAAGGAGTGGGACCAGGCACAGTCACTGTTCACCGAGATGCAGTCAACGAAGCTGGAGACGGAGGGGAAGAACTGGATGGTACGTGCATTCAATTCTTCCGTTGAAGTGTCCAACGAACATTGCTAACATTGCTACAGGTCGGTATTAAACGGCTGATAGCCATTGGCCGAGCTACCAAAGCTTGAACGTGCGGCGCATGAGTTTTGTATGCTATGACTCGGCACGAAACTAGCAGAAGTAGTAACCTGCGAACCAAAAGCACAGATCCTAGACGATAATTTATGTTGTCCGTCTTGAATAAGACGGCAAGTGACGGGATGTGCAGCCGTCTTTCGATTGAACGTCTTCCGCCATCCTTACTATATTCATGTCTACGATCGGGAGCCCTGAATTTCGCGGGAATGCCCCCTGAACCAGGAGAAATCGTAATTCTGTGCTACTTGCCAAGTTTATCACTTACAGTTGTACACTGCAAGTAAACGCTGCTAGGACCCATGTCGGTGCACAAATACTGTTCCAACTCCTGTTCTAAGAGGACGCCTCCCATTGTGTGAACGATACACCTAAAATAAGAAGTGGGTCATCGAAGCGCACGCCTTCGAACGTCATGTTCGCAGAAGCTCCCTGAATAATGAAGTCATGCTTCGCCGCAAAGGGTTTATCTGGTGGCAGTTGCAGGACCTTGTCTTTGAAACGGGACACTACTATGTACGATGGTCTTGCTGACATGGTCACCTGTCTGTAGAGCAGGAGAACCAGCGAATAACGAAGTTGATGAAAGTGCCSACACTATTCGTACCAATACATGCTACCACGTCGCCACGCTTGACCGCTTCGCGACGCATACCTAGCATTAGCAAGATGAGAGACTCGCTCCCGCAAGTTCGCCAGATCGTAGTGTTCGGTGTCTGTTCCGCCCCTCTGACGCCTGACGCCTGTCAAGATTGGTACGCGAGTATTCTGATCTAAATAAGGGCTTTCCAATAGATTCTAGGCAAAGCTCAGGCGAGCCTTGGGGAACCAGACAGCTCGCGGCATCAGGTACCGCACGTCGCTAGTGAATATATCATAATGTGGTGCGACCTGTGCAACTACCTTGTTAAAGGACCAAATATGCATCCAGAAGTCATTCATGGGGTCGGTCGACCAGTTTCATAGATCCTGATAGTCCACTGGTCCTGATAGTCCACTGGTCCTGATAGTCCACTGGTCC